CCATGGCTCCCTGCTGAGGTCCGGTCCAGTCAGCGGCCCGGCAGTCTACACTTCATACATGCCCCTCCAGTAAACCAGTGGGCTGGTCTGTATGTCAATTTCGGGACGTGACAAGAGTCAAGGCCAGAAGCAAATAAGGAAACATCCCAGAGTTTACGTCAGCTCAGTGCTTCGTTTGGATTCTCCCGTTTTATGGTGGAAGTTTAGAATAGTGAGATTTGCCGAGAAAGGAGGAGTTGATTGTTTGAACTTCTCTGTACGTCCGTTTCACCCCCTGAACTATCGTTATTCATGTATGACAATGGAAACTCAGTTCTGCATTCCAGGACCCATTTAAGAGAAGCGCCATCTCCTGGTCAGACCCTGTAATTAGGTCAGAGGCTGGAGTCAGAGTAAAAAATATGGACGCCCATGAGAAAGCCAGTGGCTGGAAGTTGGAGGGGATTTTGCTGGGAGTTATGAAAACCATCCGAACCGTTTGGTTCGACTGTCTCGGTTTGGTTCGCGTGTGTTTCGTTCGGTTCATGCGCTGCTCCTTTTTCTCATAGGCGAAGCGTTTACACTCCAGAGCAGAAGGTGGCGGTATGTCGACCAAAGCCAGGTTTCCGCGGATCATTAAAAATAATTACAATTCATTAATTTTTTTGGATTTTTTTGATTAATTTCATAAAAAAAAAAAAAATCTGTAATTTTTATTATTTTTATTTTTTTCGGTGTAACAATAAACATATACCTAACCGAACCGAAAACCGTGGCCACGAAACCGTGAACCGAACCAAACCGTGGATTTTGTGAACCGTTCCACCCCTAGCTGCTACTGTAAATAAATTTTTCCGTTAGTTCCAGTGAGATTGACAGTGAAGCATCTTTGCAAACTGCTTGTTTTTGCAGTGAAATGCTTCACATGTAGGCATTTTTACTGCGCGTCTCTGTGGCAGTGGGGAGTACCAATATGAATGTGAATGAATAGAGATGAGTGGTGGGTACCTGTAGAGGCAGTCCAACCATTGAAGGATTCTCATTCCTTCTAGTTTTTTCCTGGTAGAACTGAACGCCCCTTATGGCCTCTTCCTCTGACTGGGTCGTATTAATGATTAATAAAGAGCAGAGCTCATTTACAGCAGGATTCTGTCCAGCCTCGTCCTACAGAACATTGACTGTTTCTGCGCTTTGTTTACATCACATCCAGCAGCTAATTCTGTAGACAAACGCACACAGAGTCTGGCTTATCATGTTTTGGTTTAGGAGGATATGGTTCCTCTGCTATGTTTGGACTAGAGTCTCCAGATTGCCTTGTTTTGTCTGAGCCGCTGCTGATGTGTCTGCTGATGCCTTCTGCAGGGCGGGGGACCTTCTGCAGGGCGGGGGACCTTCTGCAGGGCGGGGGACCTTCTGCAGGGCGGGGGACCTTCTGCAGGGCGGGGGACCTTCTGCAGGGCGGGGAACCTTCTGCAGGGCGGGGAACCTTCTGCTTTCCTGTATCTTCTGGGATCAGATTCCCTGAACGGAACTTCATTTGTTCACATAAAAAAACTGCGTGTTTAAAAGAATATCAATAAACATGTCTGTTCACTCTGTGCTAGAAGTTTTGTCTTCAGAGCAGCAGCTCCTGATAATTAATTTATTCCCTCTATAAACAACGTTTATAGAGTATATAAGAATACGGTTCATTCATTCAGCAGTAGGATAAGATGGAGGTGATTGTCCTGCTAATGACGTGTTTCACATGCTGATTTCTGGCCAGTGGGACGGAGGCTCTCGGAGGACATAAATGATGTCACTCCATAATGCAGTTACAGTACATTTCCAGAGTTAATGTACGTTTCCTAAAGCTGAGAACCAGAGAAGAAGAAAAGAGGGATCATCACCAGCACATATTTCCTGCTACATGAGCAGTAAAATCATCTCAGATCTGAAATCAGTGCAGAGAACCGATGTGTGATGAAGCTTTAAGTGACTTCCTCTTGGTGTAAAATGTTTATTGGATCTTTTTCTGCTGTTCCCAGTGCTGATGTACTGGGCCTGTGCGGGCAGCGTCCTCCTGGTCTCTGTTTGCTCAGTGACACATTGAGACCGCCTTGTCCAAACTACAGCAGATGCCAAAGGTCACGCCGGCACAGAGCTGAAGGTAGAAGCAGCTTTGTTCTCTGCTGAATTACACACATGCATGAACATGGCCCCAGCTTTACCTGCTCAGGTGTTAGCACACAGACCGATGATGTCACCTTATCAGGACATTTAAACTAACTCTAAAAGTCACACAGCAATAGTTTTTATCATAATAATTTCAATGGATTGCCATCCAACCGTGGCCACGAACATGTCGTCCCAGGACACCCGACTCATCCACTACATATGGTCCCCATAGACTACCAACCCCCCCCCATTAATTAGTATTTTCTTATGATAAACCACATAATCCAGTGTCCTATAGCTAAACCTAATGTCTCAGGATCCCCATTCATCCTCCGTCTCCAGTTCTGCTCCCAAATCCACCAAAAGTCGAACGGATCAGGCTGGATATGAAGCATTAGCTTCACAACCGGCAGCTTGTTGCTAACAGCCTACTGGTTCTGCTCAGGACCAACTGGTCCGGCTCAGCTCCAGTCTGATGGCTTTACTGGTCCAGATTCAGCCGTGTCGTTCCGGGTCACAGAACCGCAGGAGCAGCTGGAACAAAATCCGCCCAAAATTTTATCTGAGATGTTTTAAATCATGGAGGGCTGAAACACTGAATCAGATTAATCGTGATTAATCATGATTAATCACGATTAATCGTGATTAATCGTTAACTGGAGAATAGTGACTGTAACTCTGCTTACAGCATTAATTATATACATAATATATATAATATGTTTATAAAATGCTCTATCCAGAATATTTCAATTGAAAAAGTTTTAGTTTAATCTAGTTTCATTTCGTAAAAAAAATTTTTAAGAACCTTTTGTTTTCAATTCCGTTCTATTCAGTTTATTTCTATAGCTCCAATTCCCATCATGTCATCTCAGGTCACTTTACAGTTCAACTAGATCATACATTCAAATTGATACAAAGTTTTCTATCTAAGGAAAACCAGTTGATTGCATCGACTCATTGACTCAAATACAATCCCCCACACTAAGCATGCTTGTAGCGACAGTGGAGAGGAAAAACTCCCTTTGAACAGGAAGAAACCTCCAGCAGAACCAGGCTCAGTGTCAGCGGCCATCTGCTGAGGCCCACTGGGGTTCAAGGAGACAGAAGCAGACATAGAAAAAGAAGCATAGATACAAAAGGCAACTGTCAACCAGCTCCACAGGCGGCCCCGTCCAGGAAACACACAGCCAGGCAGACGAGCTCCGAGCCAGCTCCCATGTCAGAGGATGAAGAGAGCACATCCAGTTAGTCACAGTCAGAGAAACAGGACTACACTGGAAAACAGGCCAAGCTCCAACATCTAGAAACAAAGGTGTTGATGGCAGCAGCACAGCTGATATTTCTCTCCAGGATGGAGTCACAGCCAAACAGGAACAGACCAGATGAAGCTACTATGAGAAAAAGCAGAGAGAGCAGAACGTTAGAGATTGAACTAACAGATTCTGCAGAGTGGGAGAATAGAGATAGAATGAAGCAGAATGATGAAAAAGGGGTCCCTATGTCCTCCAGCAGTCTAAGCCTATAGCAGCAGAACTATAGAGATAGATCAGGATAACCTGAGCCACTCTAACTAGAAGCTTTATCTATCCAATTATTAATCAATTAATGGAAAAAATAATCAACCGATTCATCAATTTGTAAAATAATCGTTAGTTGCAGCCCTAAAATCATCATTGAATGCTAACAGAACAGTCTGGCTGGACCTTTGTTGGACCGCCTTGTCCCTCACCTGTCCGTCTGCTGTCTGCCAATCAGCTCTCTCCTCAGTGACCACACCGCTGTTGGAGCTTCCGCCCAAGTGTTGTGCCCCACAGATGCTCTGCTGACCTCTGATGTAGGTTTCTGTCCCATCATGGATCAGATCCTCCATCAGTTCATCTCCATTTTCACTGTTTAGTTCCTTTCTTCTTCCCTGCCTCTCTTTTCTGAGCAGGAGGCGGGGTTACCAATCTACTCGCTCTGGAGAGCAGAGTTCGCTGCTTTTAGATGTTGTCTCCAAAGTCTCCAGTAGCAGAAAAAAGTCTCTAGATTTGGCGCTAGGAGCTTTTTAGAAATCAAAGTGCTAGAGGGGTCTGAAAAGTGGCTAAATATAGCGACTAAAGCGCTAAGTTGGCAACACTGCTCTTTGCATGGTTTGTTTCCAAATGGTTTGCTGCTGTCTGTTTGGACCTTTCTGAACATGTGCAGCAAATGGACTGATCCAATATGGTGGACACTGAAGGGGGGGGGCTGAGACGGATTTTATGAAAATCATAATTAATGTGCAGAAATAAATAGTAGCTGTATTAATCATGCATGTAAAAGGAAATTTTGTGGGGCCTCCAGGAACGTGGGGCCCTAGGCAGCTGCCTAGTTTTGCCTTATGGTAACCCCCCCCCCTCACTGTTCCTCAGTTCATTCAGAAAAAAACTCATTTTTGAAAACTTTTTGCACATTTTTAGACCTTTTTAGTTGAATAAGTGAAGTGAAGCTGAAAACTCGTCCTCCATCTCTGACCCTGACGACCTCAGAAAGCAGGGGAGCTGGATTCTTTATCTCTCTGAGTCTAGCTCATCTTTTAATCTCTTCTCATTCTAGTTCTGCTGCTAGTTTCTCTCCTCCTTCTTCATTTAACTTCATCTCCCTGGTTTTGTCAAGCCTCCTCTTCCTCGCTCGCCTTTCGCTCTTTGAGGGTCTAGAAGAAAGGCTGGTGCATTCCTACAGCCTGGAGACCGTTCCCCTCTTTCAGGCAGCGGCACAGAGAGTGACAGAGGAATTAGAATAAGAATGGCTGCCCATTCAGCCCCAAGGGGGGGGCTGGGTCCCGTACAGCGCCCTGCGCTCCCATTGGACGCAGCATTCCCTCTGTTTTTACACTGCTGCCGCCAGTTATGCTCTGAAGTTTGTTTTACATTCTGGGGCACATAGTGAGCCGCATGTTCATGCAGGCGTAACGTTCACAGACGGGTCCACAGTCTGCATAGACGGTCTGCACAGACGGGTCCACAGTCTGCACAGACGGTCTGCACAGGTGCAGTGAGAGGCAGAGGTCAGGACGGGAGAAGCTGTGACCACGCAGCGGAGAGCGAGGTGAGTCTGGAGGTAATGGACTACGGCGTTGCTGCAGGTGGAGGATTAAAAGGCCACCCTGTGCTGTCACCACGGCTGTGGGTCGCTTGGAGGTGAAGTTTGAGTCTGTTTGCTGCTGAAATCCAGCAAAGCTGAAGGCTTCCTCTGTAGATCTTCTCCTCCTTTAGTTCAGTGGAGGACCAGAGCAGGTCCCATGGCACATTTGGTTCTTCTGAAATGGTGACTCAGACTTATCCTTTCATGCTGAAGTTCAGTTTGCATCGTGTTCAAGTTGCTCCTATGAACAACGTATTTCTGGATGTCTGTGTGGATAACGGCTCATTCTGCCTGTTTCATAAACATTATGTTGTCATCAGCTAAAAGCTTCATAATTATGGTTTCTTGCTCCTCTTTCATTCAGCTCTCTGTTCTTTGACATAATTCTGCTGAAACATGCCCTGATTTTCTGTTGATCATTGCTGAGATATGACTTTACTTCTGTTTATTTTATCTACATTCATTAAAGCCAAATTAGCTGATAAACAAAAGGCTCTTCAGGTTTTTCTGTGACTGATTCCTGGTTTCTTTGCCGTTTTGTTCCCAAACCTAAAGCGGAATAATGAGCTGCTGCTTCTGATGTAGTTCTGAATCTATCAGAAATAAATGACATAATTATGCTTTTTAAATATCTTGTAATAAATGCATCAAAGCTGATATACCTGCTGGATTCTCTGGATACATCATGTGTTTCGTGATTAAAGGAACATTGTGAGCTTTTGCTCATCAGAGCATCTCTTCCTTCTTAACAAAGTCTTTCCCCGTTTTCTTCGTTTTCTCCACTGTTTTCATTCCACTGTTTTCATTCCACTGTTGATTTTATTTATCGTTCCATCAACAATCCAGAAAGCATTCATTAAAGAAATACATTCACTTATATTTTTTACTGCAATCAGTTGTTGATTTGTTGGTTTCTTGCTTCCTTTTTGTGTTTTGCAGACAGAGAAACGGTGTGATCTCCATCCGCAGGGCGATCAGGATGATGACGGCTTGTATCGGCCTTCTGCTGCTGGGTGAGAAGCGCTGATCCATGTCCTGCTCTGGGTTTGCTTTAAATATCAACTTTTGGAGACTATGTGACACTTTATTATGTCCATGGATTATTATGGATTATTATGGATTATTATGGATTCAGATCTTCAGTTTGAACTTTAATGATGATCCACTGTTGATCAGAGAGGAAATCAAACTATCCTCTGACATGGGAGCTGGCTCGGAGCTCGTCTGCCTGGCTGTGTGTTTCCTGGACGGGGCCGCCTGTGGAGCTGGTTGACAGTTGCCTTTTGTATCTATGCTTCTTTTTCTATGTCTGCTTCTGTCTCCTTGAACCCCAGTGGGCCTCAGCAGATGGCCGCTCACACTGAGCCTGGTTCTGCTGGAGGTTTCTACCTGTTCAAAGGGAGTTTTTCCTCTCCACTGTCGCTACAAGCATGCTTAGTGTGAGGGATTGCTGAAGAGTCAATGAGTCGATGCAATCAGCTGGTTTTCCTTAGATAGAAAACTTTGAATCAATCTGACTGGATGATCTGGTTGATCTGGATCTATAAAGTGACATGATGTGAATTATAAATAAGCTGAACAGAATTTAATTGAATATTAATGTTAGGGACGATAAAACTACAATCAGGATTCAGTTTGACTTGAGCTGCTGCTCAGAGTTTTGCCGTCCAAAGTTCATGGAAAGGCAGCGTCTCAGGCTGCAGCTTTGTTCTCACTGCTGAAGCTCAGAGCCACGGAGCATGAGAGAGTTTAGGAGGTCAGGAAAAGGCAGATACTCAGAGCTCTGGTGGGCAGACGGACGGACGGACGGAGGGACGGACAGAGGGACGGACGGACAGGGCCATGCATCGGATGAATCAAACGCTGCAGGTTTCCTCTTGACGGCAGCTCAAACTGAGCCCGGCAGGAAGGCGTGTGCTCAGCTTATCAAAGTCACCTGCTCACACCTTTCTGGGTCAGCTCTGGTTAATCACTGACTGCATGAGGAAGGCCTCTCTGGGGACCGAAGCACGGAGCTTCAATAAAAAATCAGGTGAAGTTGGACTTATGTGGAAACGATGTTGGTGCAAATACCTGGAACAATCATCTGCTGCGTCTCCACGGCAGCTACAGAACCAGAAGTTCTGTCCAGCCCACCGACACCTGGAATCCCGTCCCTAATGAGGGACTTTTGCCCCTGCTGTTACATTCTTGCTGTGTGCACGAGCCTCATGCCTTAGGGGGTATTTACATGTGACTTTTCCTGCACTCATCCGTTTTAGAAGCACGTGCTGCTCTGTAATCACTGTCTGACAGACCAGGTGGCTTTAAGCACGCCCCTCTAGACCTAGAACAACCAGAAGTGCCTCCTCTATGACATCTAAGTACTTTTTCCAGGACTATTAGGTTGGTGGAGAATTTCTTTAAGTTGTTTCAGATCCATCATTGGGATTCATGGTATAACAGCTGCTGTTGAGCCCAGACTGGGACCAGTTCTCCACTGGGGACCTTCATGGTGTCCACTGGTCCTCTTCCAGATGAAGAAGAAAAGAAAAAGCGCTTAAAATAAATAAATATAGTAAAGAAAAGGGGAATGTTGGCAGGCCTACTGGTTTCCTGCACATTCAAAGGTTTTCCTCTTCTAATCATTCACTGTCAGCTGATATCAGACCTTCTTTCTTCTATGAAGCTGTTATGATGAGAAAACACAGAGCAGATAGTTTAAGGTTGAATTAAAATACTGCAGAATGGGAGAATAGAGGTAGAATGATGAAAAGGCGTCCCTATGTCCTCCAGCAGTGTAAACATATAGCAGCATAGATGTAGATCTTGGCAGCATCAGTGCCAATAATCCTGACTGTTATCTGATCTCAACCATCTTTCTTTCCTGCTTCATGATTGAAGATGGTTATCTGACAGTGATGCGCAGATTTCTGTAGAAACGGGCTAACGAAGCACACAGCCTAGACTTCCAGTGCGCTCCTCATGGATCCATTTCTGATGTCACAGAGGCTAAAGATCTGAATCAATGAGTTCATGGGAGTTTCTCAGAGGTTGAGCCTTCATATGACCTCCTTGTTCCAATGGATCTGGGTCGAGCAGAAATCCTAAAGTAGAGCTGGAGCTTCTAATAGGGGCTCCGTCTCTGTGTGTGTGGTCTGTGTGGAAACATAAACTCAGCCGGTGATTAAAACTGAGGCTAATTCATGAGAGCAGCAGAGGGGTGCCTGTCTAGACAGAGCAGATCACAGCACACCTGATGGACCCCCCCAGCTCCACAACAGAAACCTGTGTGGTGAAAGTTAAAGTGATGCAAAACAAACATTGAAATGACGGCACTCAGTTAGAAATGTAATTAATTTCCCACACAATAAAAAGGTTGGCCTTTGCTTCTCTTCTTCTATGTTAAACTAAATGATGGTGAAATGAAGTCTGACTGGATCATGTTGCTGCTTGTCGTGTTTGTTCTGTTCAGGCGATAAACAGATCAGGAGGATCTTTCCTTCTCTTCCATGTGGAGTTAGTTTACTGGGCCTTAGGTGGGACCAGAGGATCAACCTGGGGTGTAAAGTGGTACAGACGGACCGAGGTCAGAGGAAATGGTCTCTAATAGGGATAGGAGGGAGGGGCTAAAGAGCCTCAGCACTGAGCCAAGCTTAAAGTGACCTAGATCTGCACCGCTGCTCTGTTCTTCTGTTTGATCAGGGCGTGTCTCACCATTGGCTGCAGGATGCTCATTTCTCACTGTTCAATTCAGAGCTGATAGCTGTACCTGCAGGGGGGGGGGCTGTACCTGCAGGGGGGGGCTGTACCTGCAGGGGAGGGGCGGCTGTACCTGTGGGAGGGGGGCTTTACCTGCAGGGGGGGGCTTTACCTGCAGGGGGGGGGCTGTACCTGCAGGGGGGGGCTGTACCTCAGGGGGGGGTTGTACCTGCAGGGAGGGGCTTTACCTGCAGGGGAGGGGCGGCTGTACCTGTGGGAGGGGGGCTTTACCTGCAGGGGGGGGCTTTACCTGCAGGGGGGGGGGGGCTGTACCTGCAGGGGGGGGCTGTACCTCAGGGGGGGGTTGTACCTGCAGGGGGGGGCAGTGCTGCTCCATGCTGATGTCGGCCGTTCCAGCTGGAAGGCCACGGCCAAGGTTTCAATGGAATTCAAGAAATGCTTCAAACTGAACCTTGGACCTGAAATCCAGCAAGGCATTTACCCGGGGTGGGAGGTGGGTCAGGGTTGGGTGCCATGTAGGGCCCATTCTTCCAACTTATTCTGAATCATATAAAGGGACCAGCTGTGGGGCCAACGCCTGGTCTACATAATAAGGAAAAATAGGGTTTTAAAATCTCTATAAATAATTAAATGCTATGAATTAATATTAAGATGAAATGATCTAAAAATGATTAAAAATAGAAAAACAGAATAAAATACAGTAAAATGTCCCTCATGTAGATGTTCTTAATAATGTCTGTAACAGTGGTTTAAATGTAATGGATGAATAAGAATCTAAATTATCCAAGTGAGGCTCACCTGGCCTCACCTGGCCTCACCTGGCCTCACCTGGCCTCACCTGACCTCACCTGGCCTCACCTGACCTCACCTGGCCTCACCTGGCCTCACCTGACCTCACCTGACCTCACCTGACCTCACCTGGCCTCACCTGACCTCACCTGACCTCACCTGACCTCACCTGGCCTCACCTGACCTCACCTGGCCTCACCTGACCTCACCTGGCCTCACCTGGCCTCACCTGGCCTCACCTGGCCTCACCTGACCTCACCTGGCCTCACCTGACCTCACCTGGCCTCACCTGGCCTCACCTGGCCTCACCTGACCTCACCTGACCTCACCTGACCTCACCTGGCCTCACCTGGCCTCACCTGACCTCACCTGGCCTCACCTGACCTCACCTGGCCTCACCTGGCCTCACCTGGCCTCACCTGACCTCACCTGACCTCACCTGACCTCACCTGGCCTCACCTGACCTCACCTGACCTCACCTGACCTCACCTGGCCTCACCTGACCTCACCTGGCCTCACCTGACCTCACCTGACCTCACCTGGCACCTCCTCATCGTGTTGGAAAGGTGTGACTTCTTCACAAAGTGAAACCAGGTTAATAAAGTCAAATAACTGTGGTATAAAGTTAATGATGTGATCCCAGGTTCTGATTGGTTTAAAGAAACCCTTTTGATGTGGGATGATTCATGCTGTTTAATCCGCTGCATTATGTCTGTGAGTGAAGGAAAATACCCTGAGGCGCCTTTAGTCACTTTTTCTTCCTATTCCTGCCAGATCTTTAAATCTTTATTCACAGTAGAGCGGATTTCACTGCTAAACTGCCTCACGACTGAACACTGCGGTTCTAAGTTCTGCTGAGGTTCATCATGCAGTGGTTCTGCTGAGGTCGGTCATGCAGTGGTTCTGCTGAGGTCGGTCATGCAGTGGTTCTGCTGAGGTCGGTCATGCAGTGCTTCTGCTGAGGTCAGTCATGCAGTGGTTCTGATGAGGTCAGTCATGCAGTGGTTCTGATGAGGTCGGTCATGCAGTGGTTCTGCTGAGGTCAGTCATGCAGTGGTTCTGCTGAGGTCAGTCATGCAGTGATTCTGCTGAGGTCGGTCATGCAGTGGTTCTGATGAGGTCGGTCATGCAGTGGTTCTGCTGAGGTCAGTCATGCAGTGGTTCTGCTGAGGTCAGTCATGCAGTGATTCTGCTGAGGTCGGTCATGCAGTGGTTCTGCTGAGGTCAGTCATGCAGTGGTTCTGCTGAGGTCAGTCATGCAGTGGTTCTGCTGAGGTCGGTCATGCAGTGATTCTGCTGAGGTCAGTCATGCAGTGATTCTGCTGAGGTCAGTCATGCAGTGGTTCTGCTGAGGTCAGTCATGCAGTGGTTCTGCTGAGGTCGGTCATGCAGTGGTTCTGCTGAGGTCAGTCATGCAGTGGTTCTGCTGAGGTCGGTCATGCAGTGGTTCTGCTGAGGTCGGTCATGCAGTGGTTCTGCTGAGGTCAGTCATGCAGTGGTTCTGCTGAGGTCAGTCATGCAG